GGCGGCGGCGCTGGGCGGCGCCGAGGCCCTGGGGCCGCCGGAGCCAGCGGGAGCGCGTCCCCATCGTCTCCCCTCGCCCCCCACCCTGTCGCCCGCATCCGTCCCTGCGGCGCGGACGTCCGGCGCGGGAGAGAAAGGTACCGTGCGCCCTCGCCAGGTCCCTTCGAGACCCCTCTTCGTCTGTGGGCCGGCGCCCGCCACTCCTGGGGGGGCACTGATCCAGGGAGGACGATGTCGGGGGCGGGGGCGCTGCTCCCTCGGCGCCCCCAGATCGCTGTCTGCTTGGGGAGGAGTCAACGAGCGCGTTGCCCCCTTTCCTGCGGCCTCCGGGAAAGCCGGGGCGGGAGGGGCGTCCTCCTGGGGCACCTCCTTTAGCGCTTTGCTTCAGTTGCCTCCTAGAATGCAGAACTTTGTGCGTGTGTGTGTGGGGGGAGTCGGGGCAGAGACTTTCTGGTCTTTGCTCGTCCCCCTCCTCTTTCTTCAGTGAGCTTAAAGAGTTTGAAGAAAGTAGTGGGGGGGGGCGGGGGTCCCCAGGTATTTCTCCTGGACGCGGTGGCTGGCGGTCTTCGGGCGTAAAGGAGGGTCCACTCTGGTCGTCCAGCGGTCCCCGCTGTCTCCGGGCTTGCGGGCCAGGGCTCAGAGTGACCCGGCTCGGCTCGGACGCGCCCGCAGTCTGCCCGCCTCCCGTCACCCCTTTGAGGACTGCGAGGGAGTGCAGGCGCGGGAGGGTGGGGGCTGTGCTCCTGCCCCGGGGAGATCCGCTCTGGCTGGAATTAAGCTCTGTAAAGAGTCAGCAAGTGGCATCTCCTGGGGCCCGAGGAAGCGAGCACGTTGTCTGGTTGGAGTTCAGACATTGGCTTACCGACGCTTGTCTTGGGAATTTTGTGTGGTGCTTCCGGTAGATTTGGGGGGCTGGAGGGGAAGTGGAGCATTATTTGTGACCCGAGGGGGGCTTCAGTTTCATAAAGCTGGTCAAGATGTTTTCATGAGGTAGTTCAAGTGGTGGTTAAAGATCCGCTTTGGGGTCATGAGATTGAGTCTTGATGCCACCACTTTTTAGGTGTGTGACTTCGGAAAACTCACTACTTTAAACTTTAGTTTTTAGAACTGTAAACTGGGTATATTATACATAACCTTGTGGAAATGTTGCATACATGCTTGGCATAGTGCTCTTGAACGTTAGGCATCCTTTCTGTGAACCTGTTGGATATTCTTTCACGTGTAGGTAATATCTATTAGGCCAGTGTGTGGAAAGAACTTGGGCAACAAAGAGAAACACATCTGGGTCCAGGCTGATCCAACACTGTACTGATTGTCTCTGAGAGGAGGTTTCCCATCCTTAAAATAGCAATAGCAACCTGTTGTTCTTGCACATAGTACATGTGACTATACAAGTTTACCTTACTTGTAACATCCCTAGCAGGTGCTTAGCATATGGTAAACGAATAATCTCTTAAAAATTAGGGATATACATTAAAATCAGAAGAGTTTTCCGCCCTCTAGGTATAAGTGGGGAGGAGAGAGTAGAGGGGGAGAAGAAAAATAAAAGAGACCAGAGTATAGCTGGTAGTTGCACATTCTTGGGAGGTATAAACCAAGAGTGATAAAGAATGCTAATTCCTTAACTCCTTGGTTGTCAGTAGTGGCACCAGAAGTTAACCTTATCTTCTCACTTAAACTCATCAGCCTCTCCAGTGCCCCTCCAGCTAAGCATATACTCCAAGTGAAAGCTGACGCCTTGTGATCTCACTCAGCTTAGAGACAAGGCACACTTCCAGCTCCCATATGGAAATTCTGGTGCCACCGCTGTGAAATATACATTCAGAAACTATAAAGCTTAGAGGTACAGTTTAAAGAATAAGAACAGAGGCACACCCAAGTACCCAGGCCCCATCTGAAGAACTGGAGCATCCCCAGCTCCTTGAAGCCCCCAATACCCCTCCCTGTGGCATTTCACTCTCTTCTTCTCCCTCCAAAGAACCACTAGTCTGGATTTTGTGTTAATTTTTCCCTTGCTTTTCACACTTACTATCTTAGATGAAAAACTCTGTGGAAGGGAAGTTTCCAAACAAGCATTTCCACAATAACCTGGAGCATTCTTATTGAACTTAAAAGCAGGGTATCGAGAGTGAGGTGCAAACCACAAAAAAGCTGAAAAAATCAAAGTGCTGGGTGAGGGTAGTCTCTCTCTCAAGCCCCCCCCCCCCCTTTTTCCTTTGGCACAGGCTCCGAGGGTGTGTTCTGTCTGTGTAGGGGAGGCCCGGTCTCTTCCAACGTATTTTGGAGCCTATAATTTTAAAAGCTTTGCTTGAGACCCTAAGAACTGGGAAAACAGTAATTTGCGTGCATGTGTTTTAGAAGTTTTTTTTTTAAATACAAATTACCTGGGGGACATTGTATGGGATTTGAAGGATTAAGCCAACTGAGAGTGACCTTTACAAATGGTTTTAACCCAAATTCTTTTCCTGGTTATGATGTTTGTGTCATGGACTTTAAGTTATTTCTCCAAGGTCACACAGCTCTCCTTAGTGAGTGTTGCACAACTCTATCACTTATTGGTTATGGCCAAGATTCCTTAGCATGGTTCATGGCGCCTTAGTATCTCAGTAGTTTTTTCACAGTGCCTCTAGGTTCAAGTAGTTAGTAGTAGTTAGGTTCAAGCAATGTAATAAGTATTTATGTCTTAATGACTTAGAAGTTTGAAAAAAATAATATACATAAACTGAGAGAAAAAATATTTTTATATCATTCTTAAATAGCCACCATTACAAATCAGATGTGTGTGCCTTTACTACTTCTCAAATCTTGGGATCAGGTTGGATACACCACTCTCGTTTCCTATATTCATTTTTCTGTAGCACTTGCTTTCTATCACAGCGGCCACTGAAAACCCAAGCTTTGCAATGATATGATGTCACTGATAGGAATGTATTGGGACCCAGTGCTGAAACTGTGGACTGCCTCCAGCTTTTAGTTCAGCAGTGTCCAACATGTTGAATACACTCTGTTTCCCTTGAAGTGTTCAAATATCCTAAGTTGCCCCTATGAATTTGCTGCAGCATCGGGAGTGCCTTGGCACACTGGGAATTGTTGGTCTAAGGTAAGACCCCCTTCAGGGGAAAGAGCATTACTAAGGAAGAGGTCTGCCTGAAGGAGCCTCAGGTTAAGCTTCTGTGTGCAGTCGGCTAAATCTTGGTTTTTCTCATCTATATAAAAAATGGAGCGGCTAAAGCCTACCTCAGAGGGTCATTGAGAGGATTAAACTAGATCATATATATAAAAGCATCTATAAAGGGCCTGAAATATAACAGAGTCTCAAGAAATGGTAGCTGTTTTATGATTGTTAAATAGTACTAACTAGGGCCGGCCCCGTGGCTTAGCGGTTAAGTGCGTGCGCTCCGCTGCTGGCAGCCCGGGTTCGGATCCCAGGTGCGCACTGACGCACGGCTTCTCCGGCCATGCTGAGGCTGCGTCCCA